AAGCATTTATGATAGAAAACAAAACGGAGTTTTGTTTTAAGCAGCCACTGACGTCTGTAAGGCATCTACACAACGCTTTATAGAGGTCACAAGTCCCTAATATACTCTTATTAGAGCAGCTGTGGCACAGTGGTAGCGCACTTCCCTGGTTCAAAACTCACCTTTGGGCAAGTTTTGCAACATCGGTTAGGAAGGAGGCGTGAAGCACATAAAAGTATCAATAAAGTATATTTATCACAATTTACATTTTCGAAAAAAAAAGTGATAAAGCAACAAAGTGGTAAAGCGGTTTAAAATAATTTTACTTTTTTGCTTGTTTCCCTCTCGTCAGTTGAGGCTTTTTAAACATTAGGAATATTATTTGAGATAATAAAAGAAAAAAGATTGCTGCCCTATGCCAATCCCTCAGTCGATGAGCAGCCCTTCCTTGTAGTAGCAGGCTATAAGTAGGGTTGCCATATGGTAATCATGAAAAAAGAGGAGATCTTACAATCCGTGTTAAATGAATGGGGAGTCCCCATTATTTAGCAAGGTAGTACCAGAGTGGACCCTTTTTAAGAAAATTAAATAAAAGTCCTTTTTTTTTGAATGTCATTTGTTTTATTGCTGGTTTTGCAATTAAAATTAACCTAGTTAATTGCAAAACGTTCACATTCAATTTTATTACTGTCTTACAATTATTGAGTCTTGACGAATAAAGTCTTTTAAAACGGTATATTTTAATATAGTTATTCTTTATTGAAATATACCATTTTAAAAAAATATACGAAAGTAACAACTATATAAATGCAAGCCATAAATTAAGTCTCCATTATATAACTTGTTTCTATTGTCATCTTGTAAACATTATTTACTTGTATCTAACTTATCACTTGCATCAGTAATCAATTTTACTGTCATTGACCAACCATTTGTTGAAACAGAGTAAGAACTATAAACAGGGAAAAAGACCGACTATACTTTTTTGTTGAACCCATCTTTTTCAATAAGTCTTTGTTTGATAAAAAATACTTATTGAACTCATTAGTTAGAAAATTGTTCATGACACAAAGGTTTATTAGCATAAAAAAGAGCTTTTACATTTACAAGTAAAATTGAGTCTTTAACTTGATTCCCAAATAGGGATACTCTCAAATTTTATCCAACTGAAAACTTTTAACTCTTAGTATTGGGACTAATAACAGGTCAAAGGTTATGCAACTTGCGTAATCTTGACTTCCCCTCTGTCACATAACGTTGAAACAACGTTAAATTAACGTTGATCGACGTTGATCAACGTTATTTCAACATTGAAACAACGTCGAGTGTCCACAGGATTGTTTATTATTGTAAGATGCGTCAGATAAATAAAAATTAACATAAGGAGACTTATTTATCTTTGTGAGAAACAGAAATATATGATCCAGCTGGCCAAATTTTGAATTATGCTTCGCAATCATTTCTCCCTATCTTAAACTAAAAAAATATTTTTTGGACGACATTATTGGTAGTATAGCAATTTTTTTACTTTTTAAACTTCAAATTTAAATTCAAGGAATAATTTCTTGTAGTAGCAACCAAAATACTTTATAACTTTTTATAGTTATAAAGTATTTTGGTTTTATAACCTTTTAAGGTTACAATCTTTTAAGGTTATAAATTTAAGGTTATAAAGTATTTTGGTTGGTTACTTTTATAACTATTTAAGTTTATAAAGTAGTTTGGTTGCTTCAGGGTTAGGGGTTAGGGTTTAATTAGGGTTAAATTACATTAAAATAATAAATTACATTTAAATGTAATTTAACGTAATTGCATTAAAATGTAATTTAACGTAATTACATTAAAATGTAATTTAACGGTCGCGACTTTCGTTTTTGTTAAGCTTGTTCTCCATTCAGAACTATTTGCGCTTAGGAGGAACGGAAGAGTCCTTTGAGCATGCGCAAAAAATTCTGATTGGAGAACGGGTTTAAAAAAACTGTTTGCGCATGCTCAAAGAACTTTTCCGCTTCTCCAAAGCGCAAAAAGTTCTGAATGGAGAACGGGCTTTAGTTTGGATACGCGCGCATTTTTCAATATTGCGTAATGAAGAAAAGAAAACCCTTTTTTGTTTAAAACTTTTTAAATAAATTAGTAGAATCAAGGCCGGCGCGATAGGGGGTGCGGGGGGAGGGGGAAGGGGTGGTGACACCCCTTCATCAATGATTTTTAGTCGGCAAATTGGACCCTTTTAGACTAGTTAGTCGGCAAATGTCGACCCTTTCGGATATAGGTTAGTCGGTAATCTAGACAGTCGGCAAACGTCGTCATGGCAGTCGGTAAATTTTGGAAAAAGGAGGACCTTTTTTTTTTTTTTAGTCGGCAAAAGTTGTAATGGCAACCCCCCTCCCACGTGACACCTACTCGCGCCGGCCCTGAGTAGAATGACTAAAAACAGTTTACATTTAATAGTTTTTACATTTTCAGTTCTATGTATACTCAAAATTTAAGTATTAAATATGTATTTTTAGAAAAATTAAATAAAAATCTCCAAAAAGCGATTTCATGTTCTTTTCTGAAATTTCCCGGAGGCCTATTTTTGCCTTAAAATCCGGAGTTCTCCGGAGATATGGAAACTCTAGCTATAAAATAGTCGCTGTATGTACTGAAGGCAATAAATATTCATTTTAAAAAAGTCATCACTTTAAGCAAGTATCCACAGGAGAGCGAAACAATCGAAAAAAATAATATTTTCTAGTTTTACCAAAAAAGTTTTCTAGGGTTTAATATGCCGTTCCCAACTCCTGTCGCCCCATACTCATTACCCTGCCTTCTCCCTCTTTTAACACTAAACCACAGTCAGCTACTAATTACGGATCAAGCAAAATAATATTATTGCAAACTTTGTGTTAATAGTAATTTTTATATTTTGTCTGTTTATATTATTATATTTGGAGTTGATATAAGATATCTTTCAAAGATGGCCAGTGGTAAAGATTCTTTGCCGCTGGCCTACCTAACTCATATATTGTTTCCATATGATCTAAATAAAATGTTTAGCCTAAAGCTAAACGTTTAAGTTCAAATAGTCTACCATTAGCTTCTGGTCATATTTTCATTTGATGGTTTGCAGATTTTAGATCAAAGGTGCTAAACTCTTTATTAGTTGCTATTTTAAATAACGTATTTTTTTAAATTAAGTACAAATCTAGTGGAGTGTGTAAGTTATTTGTGTCTGAATAAAGAATTACTGGGTAGTTATTCATTCCTTAGGGTATTTGGCACGCCAAGGACTACAAACTCACTTAAATTATATCTTGTTTTAGTATTTCTGTAATGTCTTCAGTCAAAAATACAGCATCCTTTAAAGATTTTTTTTGGGTTGAAATTAATTTTGTTGATATCTACTCCAGATATTAGGGCAATGAAATGAAAAGTATTAGATTGGAAATTTATTACAAATGAAATTTATTACAAATGCATTACAAATAAAATGTATCATTAATAAAATGTACTACAAATAAAATGTTTTACATTATGGTTTGTTGCTATGCAAATTTGTAATGGTTCTTTATTTTCTTTAATGTTGGTAAAGTTTAAAGTTAAAAGCCACCAAGTTTTCAACAACAAGAAACTGTACCTATAACTTTTTGTGAGCCATTGACAGTGAGCCTCAAAAGATTCCTGTTGCTTTTAGTGTTGAGTGATCTGCTAGTGACACATGTTAGATTTATTGAGTACTTTAAGGAAGGTTCCATAGAATAAAGAGTTTGTAAGCAATAAATTTTTTTTCTGAGTCAGTATCCAATAGTGCATTTTTTTGGTTATAGTGGCATTAATTAATTTACTAGATGAGTTAATAGCTGCAATGTTTAAAGATAATATTTTGTTCTCATTCTTTTCATTGGAGTCATTTTGTAACTACTTTTTTAACATAAGTTTTATTCTATTTTTTAACAAGGGTTTTGATTTTAAATGAGACTTTATTTGTTATAATTTTATTAATTTATCTTGCAACAAAGTTTGGAAGGGTGGTGCTAGCAGTTGCAGTTATTGTTAGTTAGATTAAGAGCATCTTAATTGGCCAGCTCCATTATTAGAACTGTCTTATATGCTTCATTTTTTTAAAATCAAAATTAAATTTTGAATCTTGAAAATTTAAAACTTTTAATAAAATTTATCTGCTATAAATACAATTTTACCAAAATGTGTTCACAAAATGTAATTATCAGGAGTTTAGACACAAAACCTTTAAATTTATGAGCTGAAAAATGCTTCAACAAAATGATAGTTATTAAAAAAATTGGGGGTTTTTAAAAAAATAACTTCCTCCCTATATATACATTTATTGCTGGTACATTTTATTTAAAAAAAACCATTAATAAATAAAATATTTTTTTTTATCATTTATATTAAATTTCAATTCATCAACAGTTTTTAAATTTCACATAACAATCTTTTAGGGTCGAGAAGCAATTGTTTTGATGTATCTGTAGTATATAAGGATATACATTTGTTGACTTTTTTTACTTACTATTTTCCATACAATTTTTTGGAAAAATAAAAATAAAATGAAGAATAATGAAATAAATGATTTGCCTAAGCCCAAAATGTTTGATGTTTAAAAGATATTCTAGTTGCTCAATCTTTAGAAAAAATTATACTTAACTTTTATCTATAGTAAAATTCTAAATAAATAAGATATTGGTCAGAATGCGTAAGTGATGTAGAAATATGAAATTTGATTTCTACCACATCTGTAGTAGTACCGTGCTTAAGTCATTTATCTTTGTACCAATTTTGTTTGTTAAGGTTTGTTTTTTGAAGCTAAAAGTTATATCTTTATTTATATGCTTTAGGTTCTTTATGGGTGAATTAAAGAGTTGAGGGAGGGTTTTATTAAGAATTTGAAAATGAAAGAGCAGCTACTTTAATCAAAGTGGCTTTATGAGCTTTGGTAGGTGAATACACTGAAAAAAATATATTATAGTCATGTTTTAGTTTTTATTATTGTAAAAATTGAAAAAAGAGTTTTTATTTAGAAAAACAGTTGATATTCCAATTGTTAATCGAGAAGAATATGAAAAGACTAAAACATTTACAGTTATTCTCGGAGAACCAAAGATTGTTGGTAAACTAAATTCAACCATCACAAACTTAAGCAGCATTAAAGATGATGATTTAAGAAAAGTTCTTGAGGTTGGAAAACCAACTCTTGGTATTTGTATTTCTATAATTATATTAATTTGCAATTTTTAATTATTAATGGCAGTATATTCTTAGCCAGTTACTATAATAAATATTTATCTGGTATTGTGTTGCCATCGAAACAATACCATTGTTACTATAGCTAAATAGTTTACCAGAAAGTTTTTTAAAAGAGTATTGATTTAAATATTTTACAATTTAGTAAATACCTTTGTTGTGATGAGATATCTAACAAAAAAATAATAAAAAGTTTTATTTGTGAGCACCTATATATTACTTTCAAAGCTCATGTGTGTATACATGGCTTGCAGCAGTTACCATATTTATTATTTATGCACTTTTTAACTGACTGTACACCATCAAACTCTTTGACAGTGGCAGAGGTAAGAGTGGATGTAAGTGGAGGCTCAGTTACTCTTAAGGTTCATGTTATAAGGTCTGATAGATGTTTAGCATTAGAATTTTTTTCTGGTTTTCTTCTTGCTCTGAAACTACTGTCTTCAACTTTAGTTACTTCATCTCCTATTTCTTGTAGCTAAATAATACTGTTTACAGCTTCTTTTTTTTCTTCCTTCTTTTACTTTATTCTTTTCATTGGAGTCATTCAGTAACTACTTTTTTAACATAAGTTTTATTCTGTTTTTTAACAAGGGTTTTGATTTTAAATGAGACTTTATTTGTTATAAGTTTATTAATTTATCTTGCAACAAAGTTTGGAAGGGTGGTGCTAGCAGTTGTAGTTATTGTTAGTTAGATTAAGAGCATCATGTTATAAGGTCTAATAGATGTTTAGCATTAGAATTTGTTTCTGGTTTTCTTCTTACTCTGAAACTACTGTCTTCAACTTTAGTTACTTCATCTCCTATTTCTTGTAGCTAAATAATTCTGTTTACAGCTTTTTTTTTTTTTCTTCCTTCTTTTACTGCAAGCAAGGTTTGTAAAATTGCTTCAGATTGTGCATACCATGCTGATTGCCTTATTGTTGGCATAACCATATTTAATTCGTATTTACTCTGAGTTCTAAGTAGATTTAAAATATTTCTAGATCCTTTATCAACTTGATAACACCCAACAAGTGGTTATTTAAAATCTGAAAGTTAAACTTTTTTTTTTTTCATACTTACATTCATTTTAAAGCTCATTTAATTATCTATAAGTTAATTTACTTTAATTAGTTAATTATTTGAAATAAAAAAAAAAGTGATGTCCAAGCAAGTAGAGATAAGAAAATGAATTAATGAATTTATAACATATGGCCAAATGATGACCCTCATGACCCCCAAGGTTATGGTTTTCAAACCAGCATTTAAAAACCATGTTTGACCACAGTCACCAATCAGGTTTCATTAAGGCTAGCAGATAGAAAATTTGGATGTTCCTTAGATTCACAAATCAATTAAACTCTTGCCAAGTACACTGACATCATCACTGACAACAAGTGACATCAAAGGCTATAAGAAACATGTTGAAGCTGATTCACAAAAAAGCCAGAAAGAGCAAATCTAGACTGGAATTGATCATCTTTATTGCAATTTTCAGGAAAAGTTGTTCAACCTTGACAACTGTTACCATTCTCCTCTTTTTTTCTGTAGAAGAACACATTGAAAAGTTTCATTTTAATTGATTTAACAGTATTTTCTCCTTCTGAAAAATAAGGAAATAGCAACCTTATTGTTATGTTAATATAAAATATTTATATATACATGTACGTTTTGTATTATACTATATATACTTATGTATTTTGTTATTCTGTTATAAACTAGTATAATTACAGCTCTTTTGAGCCAACATAATTAATTTGGTTATTCTTTACAATCAAAAGAGCTAAAATATCATTATGAAATAAAAGATGGATTGATTCATGAAACCTGATAGACTTGGTATAGATCCAAACTCAACAGATGCAGCAAAAACATACAACCATTGGTTAAGAACATTTTACAATTTTGTAACTACAGTTTATGATAACTCCATTAAGCTTAATCTCCTAATAAACCATATTGAACCTAATGTCTATGAATTCATAACAGAGTGTGATGATTTTGAACAAGCAACAAGTATTCTCGAGTCTATCTACATAAAACCAAAAAATGAAATATTTGCCAGACACATTTTGTCAACACTGAAGTAAAAACCAAGTGAATCAATAGATCAATTCTTAAACGAACTTAAAGATTTATCTAAGGACTGTAAGTTCACTGCTATTAGTACTGAGCAATATAAATCTGAAATAATTTGCGATGCGTTTATAAATGCTTTTATTACTCTCCAACAGTATACGTCAATGTTTACTAGAAAACAAGATATTAGACCTTTCATCAGCCTTTGACCAAGCTAGATCTTTAGATGTGGCTTAACAAAATTCAAACTTATACTCACAATTGACTATACCTACCTCTGCCTCTATTCAGGAAATTAAATCATCTTTGGAAAAACAATCCACAACTGATAGTCACTTAGCTGCTACAGTAAAATTAAATTAGTTGTGCTGGAAACATAAGACATCCACTTACTAAATGTCCTGCTCATGAAGCTATCTGTCACAAATGTAAAAAGATTGGTCATTTTGAAAAACTTTGTAGATCATCTGATGTTTCTGCTGCTATACCTAAAATTGATGATGATTACTTTTGTGCCACCATATCAGCTTCAGCAAACTCTCTCTTAAGAGTCTGTCATAGCATCATTGTTAATGATAAGTATAAAGCAGAAGCCTTAATTTGTAGTGGGAGTACAAACAAAAGTTTGTACTCTCACTACCAATTAAAGTGGTGGTTATGATTATTTTCTGTCTTATTGCAACTTTTTAGGTGAAGTTCTATGAACTTTTCTATGAATTTACGACCTAAGTTTATTTTTTCACTACTCTTTTTTTTAAATTTAAAAGTACATTTTACGTTAAAAATCAACACACCCTACTGTAATGGGCTTTCTTAAAATAAAAATTAAACTTTTAATTTTTAATAAAACTCTAACAGTTTAAGGTCAACAAATAACTTTTTAGGTCAGAATTCGTCAATGCCGAGGGTTATATATATATATATATATATATATATATATATATATATATATATATATATATATATATATATATATATATATATATATATATATATACACACACTCTTGCATGGTAGTCAGAAAGAGTTTCCCATAAACTGTAGTTTTAAAGAGCGCGTTAATAAACCAGACCAGAAAAAGTTTAAAAACTTTTTTTTTTTAAATGATAGACTGCCTGCCCAAACCAAAACCTCAGTCAATGTAGCAGCACTCCCTTGCGAGTCAGGCTATTTGTCAGTCGATGTAGCAGCACTCCCTTGCGAGTCAGGCTGTTTGTCAGTCGTTGTAGCAGCACTCCCTTGCGAGTCAGGCTATTTGTCAGTCGATGTAGCAGCACTCCCTTGCGAGTCAGGCTATTTGTCAGTCAATGTAGCAGCACTCCGTTGCGAGTCAGGCTATAAGATAGTCGATGTAGAAACACTCCCTTGTAGCAGCAAGCTATAAGATAGTCGATGTAGCAACATTTACGGATGTTTTAAAAATGTTTTTTAATAAAACAAAAACAAAAACACCACTAAAAAAAACTTTCTAGTCGTTATTATTGCGGTTTTTTAAAATTTTTTTAAAAAACAATAAAATTTAATGTACTTCCGCATTAATTTAATTGCTTTGACATTTCGACGACAATCAAATACAGCTTAAGAGACGAGGTAATTAAAATTGTAGTCGAAAGAGACTTTTTTTACATTAAAAGACTCTTTCGACTACATATATATATATATATATATATATATATTATATATATATATATATATATATATATATATATATATATATATATATACTCTTGACTTCATTCAGAGTGTTTTGTATGTACCATGCAATTTATTTTGTTGATATTTTTAATTTATGATAAAAGTTATAAATAAAAATGTATTTTAGGAGATCATAAAGCTTGTGAAATAAAAATTGTGGAAAGCAAAGAATTTAGGAAAACAATTGATCAAATGCTTTCTGCAAAAAATAAGAGTATTCTGGGATCAAGTTCATGGGCTCAACAGTTTAAAGATGCTTTTCAGGTTTGTGTTTTGTTTCAAATTTATGCTTTTTGAGCAGAAAAAATGTGTTTTTTGTAAAATAATTTTTTCTTGTATATTTATGTCTTTTTGGTAGATTTATTTTGTTTAAAGAGCTTTAAACAAAATGGATCTTAAACTTATCAAAAAAAAAAGTTGTTTTGCTGAATTGTATTTTATCAAGAGTTTCATCTAAATAAATTTTTTTGTTTTTTTATTTTTAATGCAGAAAAAATTATTTTTTGTACATTAAAAATAAAGTTATTTTTTGTAGTCAAATAAATTACTTTTACCAACTTTTATTCTCGAGTAACTGTTTATATAATATGCAGTATTTAATTGTTAATTGGATGTTTTATTGCATTTATTTGGTAATGGTTTCAAAACAAACTGGATGCGAGGTTTTAATATATATCCAGTATTTAATTGTTAATTGGATGTTTTATTGCATATATTTGGTTTCAAAGCATTCTGGATGTGAGCCATTTGAATATCAGCAACCTGAAATTCTTAAATTTTATTGATACTTAAAGTTGTTAAAATCATTTATAATTTCTAAATTGAGGTAGTTGCTACTTTTCGTATTGATTTCAAGTTTTCAGATATCTTTAGTACTGACTCTTTTTGCTGTTGGAGGAACTTCATGATATGAATCTAAGCACTGCTTGAGTACATGCCAGCATTTGCCATACTTTTGTTTGTCAAAAGCACATATAACTTGCTCTTTTACTTTACCCTTGATGTATTTGTGACTCAATTATTTCCTTTTTACATTCAATTGCAGCTTTTTCTTAAAACTGTCATCAAACACTTCTATTAGGTCATTGCATTTAAATAAAGTTTTGATGTACTTTTCACATAATTTTACTTTAAATAAACAGCATGATATATAACAATGTTATAATTTGTTTTTTAATGAAATTCATCTCCCCAAGCCTAAGAGTGCCACTATAGTTGAGGAGGCTACTAACAAGCCTCTATCAACGTTTTAACTCTGAAACTCGAGCCTTGATAAACAAGGCCATTGCATGGAAAAACAAGTTGAGTGTGGTACTACTAGGGAAGTGGTGTTGATCACCACTTCACACAACTCTTCTTCTTTTGTTTTTTTTTAATTATGATTCACTTTCAACAAGACTGCAAGGAATTAAGTTGGAAGTTACTAAAAAGCAAAAAAATAGAGTTAAATAGCAAGGAAATGATTGACAAAGGACTTGAAAAGTTGTATGAATCATGAAAACATGAGGATGAATTCCTAAGGAATGAAGTGCAGGGAAAAAAAACTAGATAAATAAAAGTTTTTAGAGCCTGTAAGGGCAGATACTGTAAAAGAATGAGACTTTGCTGAATGATGAGTCAAGCAAGAATTAGTTGCGGTTGATGGAACTAAAAAATATATATATAATTATTTTAATAATTAAATAAATAATTTTTAAATAATTCTAATAATAACTTTTAAATAGTTTTAACAATTTTTAAATAATAATCTTTAAAAAATTATGCTCTATTGCTACACCATTTCCACTTTATCAGTTATCAACGATGTATAATCAACGTTATCTCTAGTATGATTCTATGTATAATCAACATTATTTTTAGTTATTTCTAAAATGATTGAAAATCATATCGTATAATCATTGATATTATAATATAGTAATCATTGACATTATTAAACATAAAATGATTGAAATAGATTTCATTTCGATGAAAATTTTTTTTTCAATAATTATTTAAAGTGCAGGCTGTCAGATTTGCTGCAAGCACACATCCCTGATGAGTGGCTTTAGTGCAGGTCTCAGGCTCCCTGAAACTTCATTGGTGATCGCATTGCATTCCTGAGGAGGGGGCTCACCATTATACTACTTAGTTCTAATTAGTTATAATGGAACAAACATTTATTTACCTCTTACACCCATGTTTTTTTGCGCTTTGTTAGGTTGATATTATATATTTGTAATATTAATGATATTCATATAACCTGCTATGACACAGCTGGTAATCAGTTTAAAACCATGTGTAAATTTATCCATTTATTGGTTCCGAGAATGTACCAAATAAATTAAATATTGTATATATATTCTAATTAAGATTCTTTACAGAAATCTACAAAACTTTAACAAAGTAAAACAAACTTAAGACTCCTGTCAACAACAAAACAACAATAAAATTATTCAAAGAAAAATCGCTATAGCAAGTTCTGGAATCACTTTCGCTGAGTCAGCAAACCCGTTAAACCAATAAGATTTATTGGCTCGCTGACACAGCACGTTTCTAGAAATTCCCGAACTTTCTTTAAAATTCCTCCGCGCCATTCTCCTCCTCTTCGACGTGCTGTCGGCTCATCGATCCTTAATTTTTATCGCTCATTGATGGTTTCTTAATTTCATTACTAATTTTGCATTCCAATAAACATACACAAGATATAGGTAGCTTAACTTCACTGTTTCCCACTTTCACTTTTATAACTCTAGTATGACCATCAGCGCCAGGATACGTCTCTAAAACTCTTCCTAATGGCCATTTTCCTTGCGGCGTATCCAGTGATATAACTAAAACAATATTTCCTAACTGAATATCACTTTTTTCAAGAAACTTTTTTTTTTTTTAGAATTTAAGGTGGGAAACCACTCTCGTAACTATCTCTTCCAAAAGTGACGTATAAGTTCTTGGATTCTGCGCCAGCGTTTTTTTATGCTAAAATCCTCAGTATCAACGTTTTCCGGTGCAAATTCGCCACCTACTTGACCATGTAAGAAATAATTTGGTATTAAAGGAACATCATCGTCAGGATTGCAAGACTGGTATGTTAAAGGTCCTGAGTTGATCAATGGTTCTGTAAATGCTGTCATCAGTTCTTCATCATTAATATTGGCATTACCCAGAATACTGTATATAGCTTTCTTTGCTGACTTGATCATCGTTTCATGGACTCCTCCAAAATGTGGTCCGATTGGAGGGTTAAAATGTCATTTAACTCCTTTATTGGCTGTTGATTGTTTTAATTTTTCTATATTTAAACTAGCTACAAGCTCTTGAAGTTCTCTATTGGCTCCAACAAAGTTAGTACCATTATCTGAAATCATTTCCTTTGGAAGGCCACACTGGTTGACCATTCTATTAAACGCGTTTAAAAACCAATCTGTATCCAATCTAAATGCTATTTCCAAATGCACAGCTCGTGATGTAAGACAAGTAAACAAGCACAAATAATGTTTAGTTCTTCTCATATCTCTTCCTTGTACTGTTATAAATGGAAAACCAAAATCAATAGCTGTTCTTGAAAATGTGTGCAAAGGCATTTTTAATCTGATCTTTGGTAATGGTACCATAATCTGATTCCTGGCTTTAGCTTTTCGTCTTTTGCAATGCTGGCATTGATTTTCCCACTCACATATTTCTTCTCTTGCTTGTAATATCCAATACCGACTAGATAGCATTGCCAAGGTCTGATTAGTTCCACATGCATGTTTTCCCTCTTCGTGACACTTCTTCACTATAAGTTTCATTATCCAGCTTTTTCTTGGGAGAATAATAGGGAATCTGGCATCGTAGGGCAAATATTCTGCATATTTTAAATGCCCATAACATTGTAATACACCATCCTCATCTAGTTTTGGTCTTTAACATAGTATTTAACTAGTAATTGGTAATGTTTTTTTGGCTAACAGTGCTTTGTACTCTTCTTCGAAATTCTTTTTTTGAGCAAATTTTATTAATTCATTTTCTGCATCAGTGATCTCTTCTGGCATTAGTTTTTTTTGCCAATCTGGTTGCTTTTGATGACGTACAGTTAATGATAAAACGACGACTTACAAGAGTGCTATGTAAGCACTCTTGTAAGTCAAATCCAACTTAAAAATATCTGAGGTTGCAGTCTCCAGACGCTATCTTTTGCAAGCACTAACAAGGTCGAATTTGCTTTATACTTTTTTACTTCTACATCATTGTTATCAAATTTTGATAGTTTTCTTTCTGACCATCTTTTTTGATCAGCCAGAAAATCTGGTTCTTTCCAGCATCTAATTTGTTCTTTTAGTTCTGATACTGTGAGACCTCTTGTTATGTCATCAGCAGGGTTTTCCTTAGTTATCTCCACTGACTTGGGCTTGTTTCGGTATGTGTTTCTCCGATTCTATTAGCCACAAAAGGTTTAAATTTTCTACTCTAATCATGTATTCACCATATCACATTCATGCTGTCTGTCCAGAATGTCACTTCTTTTATATCAATTTTATAAGTTGCTGCAATATTGTGACTTAATCTTAATCCTAAAACTGCACTAAGTAGTTCTAATCGTGGGATGCTTAATGCAGATAAAGGCGCCACTCTCGATTTGGCTGCAATAAGGTTAAAAGAAACTTTGCCATTTTTATATTGACATTTTGCATAAGTTACAGCTCCATATGCAATTTCGAAAGCATCTGTAAATGTGTGAAGTGAAAAGTATCACTAAACTTTGATTTTGGTTTTGAATGCATCTTGGTATTTTTATGCTATCTTTCTTAAGAAGTTTCTTTTAATGAATACAAAATTTTCATCAGGTGCTTGATACTTAAATGCAAAAATGTCTTCTTTTTTTAACCACATAATCCCTAAGGTTTTGATTGACGGCAATTCACTTTTGTCCAAATCTACTTTTTGATATCTGTCTTTAATTGGAATTTCTTTCAATAATATTTCGGAGTTGGATAACCATTTTCATGCATTCTAACTAAATTCTAAACTGCAATTAACTGTTTGTATAATTCAATACCAGTTTTTTCATCAGTAACAGAGTCAATGCTATCATCCATGTATTTCGATTTAAGAATTGTTTCTGTCGCTAAAAGATACTTTTCAATGTGTTTCTTTGCATTTTCTTGTGATACAAACTGTGCTTAAAAAGGCAATGAATTGATACCGAACACTATTTTTTGGAATTCGAAAATGTCTGGGTCCCTGTTTTGATCTAGATTTCTTCATAAAAATCTTTGAAACTTTCTATCGTCCGGTGAAACAGAGAT